CCCAAAATACCCACATTTCATTCCTATAATAAAACTAATTGCTTAAAATTCTTCATATACCGAATTCCCTGTAATTAATTCCTTTTCTGTTTCCAGCTTCTACACACGGACTATGATTTGCATTCTAATGCACTTCCTGATTCAGCAGACGGCTCAAATCTAATAATAGCCACCCAATTCATGTTAGTGCTGGACATTTTTCTCTACCTGGCATTGATGGTTTACTTTGAAAAGGTCTTACCAAGTAAGTCATGGTCTGATGAACGCCAGACCTCACTTTAAATCATGTTCTGTCATTCAACAAATCACCGAGCGCTTGTGTTATTTATGTTTGATGGACTGCTTCATGCTCTAGCAGGAAGGAAATGCAGTGGCCATCACCTTTGGCCGACCTTGTTCATCATGTCCCCCCTGTGACTTGTTGGGTCAAAGCTGAAGCCTGGATTTGGTTTATAGAATCACTGAGCATTATTTGAACTTCTCTCTAACTGTATGGCTTGCTTCTCTTTCAAAAGATGCTTAGAAAGTTGGTTCCCAAATGGGTCTGTCTTGGTCTTTAATCATAGAACTTTCTAGCTGCTGATGAAGAATTATGGAGTTGCCTGGTTCTTAACCTCAGCTGCATATCAGAGACACCTGGGTCATGTTCACGGAATGCCAGGTCCAGCCCAACCCCCTGGGTTGGGGGTGCACATTCTAATTCCATTCATCAACCGTGAGATCAGAGCATCTATTTTTTTAAACAGTCTGCCCAGAGTTTTCACAAGAGGCAAGTCATTGGGTCATAAAGGTTCATTTATAAGGCTAGAGGTTACTTTGTTCAATATTATTTCAAAGGATGACAGCAAGAAAATTAACTGGGTAAAAATGGCAGAATCATGCAATAATAAATCTGGTGTCAGAATGTACCCAATTATGGCCACACACTTTTATGGGTTTGAGGTAAAAGCTAGACTTCCTGCACAACGGGAAGAACGTTATGATTAATGAGTCAATTAGTGCTAACGGGGCTTATTGAATGAGAAACTGTTTATGAACAGAGAGTACCCCAATTAAAATGAGGGACCTGGAGTTTGCCCACTTATAAAGATTTTTGAAAACGAATAGAAAGCTAATTATTTTTATCTAAATAGGAGTTTCTGACTATTTATTTTCATTGGTTAATCACATCTAAGTGTCCCTTTGTTTTGGACACTGAACGCTAAGCTGGTTTATCTTTGTATGTATGTGTCCGTGTATTCAAAAGACTTACTGCCATCGATCAAGTCCCTGCCTATTCAGAGCTGCCCATTAGGACAGGGTAGAATTGCCCCTTTGAGTTTCAGAGACTGTAACTGTTTATGGGATTTGAAAGCCCCGTCTTTCTCCCACGGAGCAACTGGTAGTTATGAACTGTGGACCATGTGGATCGCAGCTCAACTCTCATAACCACTATACTACCAGGGCACTAAAGTTTTTGCTAAATCCTGCTCTATCTTCTCTTGGAGTATTGCCATCAGGTCAATTCCAACTCATAGCACCTCTATAGAGCAGATTAGAACTTCTTCAAAGGGGTTTTTGAGAATAATCTTCATGGAAATAGACAATGTCAACTTTCTCCTGGGTAGTGGCTGGTGGATTTAAACCACTGATCTTGAGGTTAGCAGGCCAATGCTTATCCCACTATACCACCAGGACTCCTTTGCTACCCAACATTCTTGTCTCAATGTCTTCTTCCTTTGCCAGTGTAATGATGCATGCTCTCCCAGACGGAATTTAACATGCACAACAGATCTTGAGTCTCCAAACAAAACCCAACTCAGTTCAGTCAAGTTGATTCCAACTCATAACAACCCTACAGGGCAGGGTAAGAACTGCCCTTGTCGGTTTCTGAGACTAGCTTTTTATGGAAGTAGAAAGCCCCATCTTTCTCCCATGGAAGAGCTAGGGACCTTTTAGTTTGCAGCCCAACAAGTAACTACTATGCCATGAGAGTTCCTCTACCTTAAGTCTGGGTTAAGACAATTGTTATTTTTATCTAAGTTATTCCTGAATTAAAAAAAATACTTTTATTGGGGGCTCTTACATCTCATCACAGTCCATACACTCCTCCAGTGTGTCAAGCACATTTGCACATATGCCGCCATCATCAATTTCAAAGCATTCTCTTCCCACTTGAGCCCCTGATATCAGCTCCCCATTTCTTCCCC